GCTCGGGTTCGAGAATAGGTTCTCCAACCATGGGATACACAATCAGGACCATGGAGGATTCTTTAGGACCGACCTCCAATACATCTTCTGTACGAGCTGCTTCCTTAGCAGCCTTGGCTTTTCTCTTCTCAACCCTCTTCTGAGTCTTTTTGACAGCGGCCAAGCCCGTGGCCACTTCATCAGCCACTTGGGGTAAGTCATCAACATTTTCTCGCGCCACGACATCAGAGTCAGGAACTTTTTCCACTTGAGCATCCTCCCAAACTGCAGTCCGAGCGGGACCGTCAATCTAAGGACCGTTCACCTTGGGATTATTTACATTGGGAACAAACGTTTTGCCCGACCTACGTTTGGTGCTCTTCGCACTCTAAGCTATCAGGAAGACTTCTAACTCCTTGGCAAAATCTTTAGTTTTTCTCGGTTTGATCAGCATCTTCCTTGATCTGCATCGGAGAGGACCTATCAAAATTGAACCCAAGTTTAGTCCGGGAAGTAAACTTTTTTCAGACAAGCGGGAAATCAAAGGAGAAAACCGACCTGTAGCTCGAGATACTCTCTGTATGTTAAATTGCGGCCAAGTTTCGTGACTAAGCCTCCTAAAGTCGTCCACGTGCTCGAAGAAAACCCTTTGTTGGACCTTTGATCAGGGTAGTTGGCTTGTCTGCAAACCAAAATGATATATTCAGCACGGAAAAGAAAATTCTTATCTCCACAGCTAAAGATCAGCTATCTACCAATTACAGCTGCCCATTTAGTAAAGATTGGGACATCTGGATCGGCTATGGTGTTCTCGTCAATCCGGACGAAAAAATAGCAATCTCGCCAATCATCGATATTAACCGATGCCCCCTCGGTTACTATGTTCAGCCCCCTCTTCATGCTCACATAAAACGAATCACTGTTCTGTTTATTTTCTCCTTGAGGCTTTATATCAGTCATCTCCTCGAAGATATCGGTGTTGAAAGAAAACCCGTTCTCCTGAGCCAGTACCGTCAAACTCACTACATGATGAATGGTGGCGTGCATAGTCTGCGAGATCAGAATTCCCCTCCTAGCGCAATAATCCAGAAGAACGCGGGGTAATGGAAACCAGAGATGGTTGTATAGGAAGAAGTGTTCGAATAAAAATATATAGCCCGGAGGGGAGCATCCCAGGGACGCTGTTCGGGGCTCGGGACCATGAATCGCACCACGGGACCTATCCCACAAACTTGCTTCAACTTATTGAACGACCTCCAAGTAGTGCGGGTTGGGATTACGCCGAAGGAATTGTCAGGTCCAGGTCCATTCTTCTTCGACCGCCTCAAACTCTTAACTGAGAATGGGGTGTGTCGATCGAGAATCCTGTTCTCCCCAAACTCTTCTATCTCGTCGAAGCTATCCTTCTACCTTTTAATATCAGCCTCATCCCCATCAGACAATACGTTGGCGCTCCTGACTTCATTTGCATCATCCCGATCAGACAAGATGTTGGCGCTCCTGACTTCATCGGGACCATCCCGTAGCTCGGGTACCTTAATAATCACTCGTGCTCCCGATGGTGGACCGACTTCATCACGGAATACTGTATTTAGTTGCGCTTCTTAGAAACGTGTCGCCGCATGTTCTTGCTGATCCCTTTTCATCTCCTAATAATTTACTCAGAGCGCACGCGCAAATGCCCGACCTGACTTGTCCGATCCCGAGCTCACACTGCCCTCAGGCTCAATGGGTGATGCAGCTTTCTCCTTCCCTTTAGACGATCTACGGGGGCACATCTCCGATTGTCTATGTAGCCACCCGACCTAAACCTAACTTAATAGCATGGGACTATCGCTGAACGGGTCTCTACTAGCGGCCCGACCTAATCTAAGACTATCGGACTAATGAAAACGAGAAATCTAAAGAGAGAAAGAAGAGAGAAGGCAGAGCAAACCTGATTTGAAGATTTTTGCAAAATGAAAAGTGAAGAAATGAAGGCTCTTCACCCTTTTTTATACAAGAGGTGGGATGGTTTTCGAGAAAACCTATCATCATTGCAGCGGTTCATATTTTTCGGACTTAAATACATTCAAATCTCACGACACATGTCAAATCTCAGAAGATGAAGAGACTTTTTCTGCTTACATGTCGCAGATAAAAAAATGCGACCTATTCTGCGACTGACCTATTGTGTGCGATTTAGATGAGCTTTGGGATGATATCCATTATCTCCCAAGTGCCGATCCTAAATCATACTAGTCAGAATTTTGTATAAAATGAAAAAGCTTTCAAGCATCCCGTGCATCGAAGTGTGCCGATCTCAATTTATACCGAGCTATCTTTTTATTATGTTCTCCCACTTGACTTCGCAGATCGCCGAACTGGGAGGGGGCTTATTGTTAGAGATAGGTTTAGCACCCCTCCAAAAAGCCTTTTATATATTAAGAAAAGGCCTGTTCGGCTCGACTAAATTGAAATATTCCAAGATCTATCCGAATTTTCGAAGAAAAGGAAAGTGGATCCCGAGAAGAAATGAAACTATGCATATCCTGAAAAGGAAGGACTTGTCTTTGGAACCGCCTCCATCCAGTATAAAAGAAGAGCCCCTCTTCGCATAAGAATCCATTCACAACTCATGACTCGAGACCTAGGGCAATTAATAGCTTTCTGCTTTCAGCTTTAGATCTCAGTTCATTCTCTTTGATTTTAGGTCGACGTTCTTTTCCGATGACCTAAAAGCTTTTGTACTCTTCGAACTTCGGCTAATATTAACAAAATCTCTATCTTTTACCCCCACAATCTCTTTATTTTCTCTAAGGGATATTTTGTGATCTTACAGGTATCAACTCTGATCTTATTCGTATGTCCTGAGGGAGCACGTTATTGGTTGAAGGAACTATATTTCCGGAGAAACGAACCACGTGGCAATTAAACTAGGTGTCGACTCTGACCTTATTCGCATCCGGAGGAGTACGTTATTGGTCGAAGGAATTACACTTTCGGAGAAGCGAACTGTGATACGGTCAGACTAGATACACAATAAAAGACTCGCTCCGACCTCGTCACGCATCCTGGAGAGTATGCTGTTAGCCGAAGGAGCTAGGCTTTCAGAGAAGCTAGGTGTTTGGGTCCTACCCCGACTGGGGCATGCATTCCGGAGGAGTACACACTTGCTTGGGGTTTGATATCTCTAATATTCGCATCATTTTCCTTGTCTTCTCTTGATAGTTAAGCTAGGCTTATTGTACTTAGGTCCCAGTTTATGCTTTTTTCCATTCATGTAGGTCTAAGATGCATTAGTTAAGATTTTTGCATTGGTCTTGCATGTTTGGAGCTCTTTTTAGGTACTTCATCTATCACGGAGATCACGCAAAGAAAACCAAGGCACTCGGAGACAAAGAAGGACAACCAAGGAGGAAGCAGACGACGCCTTAGATCGCATTGGGAGACGACCACGGGCAAAGGACGTGACAAGCAGCACAGGATTTGCACTACGACCAAGTACATAGAGATGAAGCAGATACACGAGCCGAAAGAGATGTTGTCTCGCAATACACCGGGCAAACGTCGTTGCAACAGCCAGATACAGACGACACGATCTGTACCACGACGTCACCACACTCGCCACGAGCTACCTCATCGGGATGAAGCCGTGATCCGCTAGCTTTCAAACGAGTACCCATTTCGGACAAGTGGTCTCGTAAGCGTGCTAGGGCGACCTCTCTTCTTTCTTTTCTTATAAATACTCTCAGTCGTTCATTATGTTTCCAGGACGAAAACATTAGTCATTTTTGTATCTTGTCTTTTAACTACCAAACTCTTTCTTTTTTTTGTTTTGTATATTTTCATTGTTGCAATTTTAAAAACTTTAAATCTTAATCAAGTTTCTTTTAAACAATGTTAGAATCTAAAATTATTCATCAACATATTAAGCAGGATTGGCTCAATATTTTTGATAGTCTCTCGGCTAAAAAAAACTTTTGGGCCTTTAATAATTAATAAAAATACAAAAATAAACTCTAATAATTGATAAAAACATAAATTAAGTTTCTAATAATTGATAAAAACACAAATTTAACCCTTAAAATTACTTTAATATTATTTGACTTGAAAGATGGACCCGGGGGGTTGCACTATTTGTCCTCCAAGTAAATCGCCCCTGATATTCGGTTCCATAACCACATATCATATAACGTTGTGGATATGGATCTTTTGATAACATACATTAATGGTGACCATCCATAATTATACAATGTCCATGATTTAACAGTCCATCGAACTTCATCCATCCAATCAATAATGCAGCCTCACGTATCCACGCAGACTGGTCACCTTTCTCCACTCACGCAGTCATGTGTATCAAATTTACTTTACGAAGAAAAAAACAAGATTTTATAATTTAATATTCATTAAAGATATTATTAAAATAACACATAAGCGAAAATGATGAAAAGTGAATGAAAATGAGAAAAATTATAGTAGTTAGGGAAATTGTTTTTTTATTTTTTGTATAAGTGTTTCCACAAAAAATCATAAATATCTGTTTTTTTATCTTTTTATTTATGATTTCTTTAATAAAATTAGAAGAAAATAGAATTTGTTTTCATTGTTTTCTTTTTCCTATAATTTTTTCTTCCATAAAATTAAAAATCTTATATGAATTTGAAATTAAGTTTGTAAATTTATTACAAAGATTTTCGCATTTTACAGTGCTTATTTCTATCCACAAACATTATTATATATCAATCCAACAAAAGCGAGCACGGGCTGCTTGTTCGATCTTATCTTATTTTTCACTTCCATCAAACTGATTATATATGAGAGAGGGAGAATCAGCTTGTAGAATTTCGATCATTCTGATACCTAAAATCTATCATATCTGACAAGTTTAAATCGAAATTAAATTTATCTTAAAATCTATATTATAATTTTTTTTTCTAAATTAGTGCGAAATGTAGTTTCGGAGAGCCGGTTTAAGTTTAAATAGTTTGAAATCCGAGATATATACATACATATCTAAGTAAATATATACAAAATTGAATGAATCGATATATAAGTTAAATATTTTAACGGTTATCTTAAGAGAATACACAGTCTTGCGGTCACATCTGTCGTTGTTGTTGAACTACCAAAACAGAGACCTTAGAGCTAAGCTCTTTAGCCGCTAGAAAATCTCCGATGACACCTAACTCTGGAAGTTCGACCCACTCTGTTAGTCCTGAGAAGATTGGTAATGTCATTCCTTGATCTCTCCCAACAACCATAAGATCATACTCTCCAGCGAGCAATTGGACGATGCTTGCCACCTCAATACTACTAGTCACAACCATTTCTGTATAATCAACATTGTTTGTTTCCTCTATAGTCTTGAAATCCTTTAAACTTTCATTATCAAGAATGTACTCCCAATGTGCTAACTCTATTTCTTGGTTGAATAAGAGCTTGATCACGGTTACATGAACCCTCGGATTATGGTTCATCCTCTTCACCATTGATAATGCTTCTCTATCATCTTTGCCTCCAATGAAAATCACACCTACATTGATGGTGTAGTTTTTCTTGCTCGTTACATTGCGTTTACGTGAGAGATTTCACGGTCAATTAGTATTCCTATAGAACAAAAGGCGCACGATCGAGTAATGAATGGTTTATACGCCTTATGGCATCATCGTCAGACTCAAACATACCATCTATGGTCCAACTCCTCCCTGAAGGGACGATAATTATTGAAGTTGTCTGGTCAAGTGCGAGCGTGCAAATGTCCTCGTGCATCATCTTCTCATGTGAAAATGCGGTAAATGTGGTCACAGTTACGGACTTCAAGCTCTCTAACATGAAATGTCGGAAGGCAAGATTTGCGGTATGGATGTAGGAGTTGTTGTGAATTCGTTTCGACTTCTTGTTGTGTGAAATCATGATGGGGCTGATCTGACCAACAAGCTTCATGAGGTGGAGAACCGTGACCGTGATAGGGAAATCTAGGTTCGGTGAGGAAAACAGTTGGAGGAATGCAATGGTCTGTAAGACATTCTCGGGTTTGTGCAAACATGTTAGAATTCGGAGATCGGAGCTTGGTTCCAAATTCAGTATGTTCCTTTTTTGATAATTAAGATACTTCCGTTTCGGATCGTATAAGCTTCTTAAGACAAAAGGAACGATCCCAGCATTTATCAGCGAATAAATGATCAAGAACGCGTACGTTGCCTGCGATATACTCTGCAAAAAAAAAAAAAAAAACCATATCATTACGTCTCTGATAAACTCATAACATCTCTATTATGGAAGAAAAAACAAAAATCGGTTCTTATAAAATACCCAAAATTATATTGCCTTTTGGATTAAAAGGTTACCTTGTCATCTAATGCAGGTTCATAGACAACGAAATCAGTGAAACTCTTGTAGCTTAAAATGATGGAAACAGCCATGGATTCGTTGAGAGGTAACTTAAAGTACAAGCAAGGTGCAAGGCATGCAACCATTTTAAAGAAAAGTGTTAGAACCGTTAGAAAAACGTTGTAGATGATGTGGTTGAACTCGCTGAAGATCCTTATTCCGTCACATCTCATCACGCTAACTGTGATCGTGATCGGTAAGAACACTTTCATTGTGAGCTTCTCGTACTTAGCTTCCAATGCTGATCCTAATGGTGGACCCTCCGGTATTATGAGACCGATCACTAATGGTCCCAAGACATATTTCAAGTTGAATAACATAGAATAAAAAGAGGAACCCAATGCGGCCAAAATCATGGCGTGAACGTACTTATTCTCCACGGGCTTGCCTTCCGGTGTTTGGCCAATGATCCATCGCACGATCGGCTTAAAAACAAGAAAGACGATGAGAACGAAGATGACCACTGCAATAGCGTCACGGTAGGTTGTTACATGTGAGACATTTATATACGTTCCGTAAACAGTAATGGTTACTAAGGCAATTATCCCCAATATGTCATTTATGACACATGAAGACATTGCAAGGCGACCGATCTCGGAGTTGAGAATCTTGAGCTCTCGCAAGATATATGTTGTGGAAGGCAAAAGTATCGAAGATTGGATTATTACGATCACTGCGCGCTCTCCTATTGCTTTTTCGGGAGTCATGTAATGAGGGTCGATGTTGTCTGAGAAGAGATTAATGAAACAGAGACTGAACAGAGGAGCAACGAAGGACAAGGTCCCGATCACGAAGGGCAGTTTTTCGCTACTAGACGCCACTCGCCGGCTCGTTCTAACAGTCATCAAGAACGTAAACATGATCGTTCCAAACACTGAGATGCTTTTTAAAGCCGCGTTTCCATCAAACGCAGGATCCATAGATAGTTTCCCCGAAGATTTCTCCAGTACATCAAAAAGTTGAGGCCCTAGAATCAATCCAGCCTACACATAGATTTATATGTATGTGAAATCAAAAGTTTTCTTAAACGCTTAAACAATTTACTTGCATACGAAGTTATATCTAGTTTTGTTTTCTCTAAGTGCCTATATGAAAGGTGTTGTAAATTCACGACAAGAGTATATAATCCTTATGGATTTCTATATACTTCTCTATCCTTTTAAAAAGATTTAGAAATAATCGATTAATATGTAGAGAGAAAAACAAAATGAGGCAAATGTCGTTTAGGGTTTCTTTATTTTTTTGTTGAATGAAATTAGGGTGTCTTTATTAATTGTGTGAATAAACAACTTACCCGCTTTTCTGCTCGATCCGTTACAGTTTAATACTGATTTTAAGACACCTAGAAAAACAGAAAGACACTTACGATCATATAGGAAGTAATTTGGGAAATGCCAATGCGTCTGAGGATCATATGTGTCATGACGATGAAGATGAATATGAGTAATATCTGAATCTCCAAAAGAGGTAGCGAGTACCCGAAAACCACAGCGGGAGATTTTAGGTTCTCCCATAATCCATTAGAGGAGATGTTGAATACTGATTCTGGGCAATCGCCCGTGTAGGTAGTCGTATTCATGAAAATGAGCCAAGAAAGTAGCGAAGCTGTAGAATTTGGAATAAAAGGAAGGCTTTGTTTTTGTTTATGTGGTTATAAATAGAATCGGAGTCTTTGGATTTGGGTTTTGAAACAAAAAAACATGTAATTTTGAAGTTTTTTTTGTTGGTCTTTGTTTATATATGAGTTGTTTAGAGCAGAAGAAATTAGTGATAATGTGAAGAGAGATTTAAAATTGAATAAATATGATATTGTTCTCATATCTTTTTAATGTAAATATAACACATATATATATATATATATATAAGATGGACATAATATTACTTAAATAGAAGAGAATATTATAGTTGTATTGATAAGGGAAATCATAAGGATTGAATAATTGATTGGAATATTACTTTTTCCGCTTAGACACTCTAATCTTGAGTGATGGTGATGACAAGGGAAAGGAGTGGACGGTGAGTTGCAGCAGGAAGATGGTTCTATGGTGGTGATAAAGATATCGTCTAGGATAGAGACCATTGATGAAGGTAGGAGGTGCCATTAACGCTTGGAGAAGAGAAAACAGAGAGAACTTGTTTTTAAAATAAAATAAAAGGGACTATTTTTTAAATAATCTATTTGGTAATTTTATTATAAAATATGGCATTTTCTAATATAATCCATAAGAGAGGTTTATTAGTATGCTTTCAGTTTGTTGTCAAAATATTAGTAGTTTGCATTTAATTTGAGTCTGCTATTAGTTTGCAGATAATCTACATTCAATCGTATGACCAGTTAGTGTACCAGTAATCTTCATTTAATCTGTCATTAGTTTGTTACAAGTAAAAGTAGTTAGAAATGTAACATTCGTAATCATAATAATCATAAAAATCATAAAAAAAATCATTTCCATATTTTTCTAAATGATGTTGTTCGGGAGCAAATTTCGGGATGCCACATGGGGGGTCTTGATTCGTCGGGGGTAGAGCTGGGTCTCCGAGTTTCGTCCTCTGGGGAAGGGCGCCGAATCGCCGTTCCGGGATGGATGCTTCCTGTCGCTATACGACGGGGCATATCGTATTCGATCCTGCAAACACTTAAACAAACTCCAGGAGGGCCTTCGGGAAGGACCGAAAGGGGGTTTCCCTTCCGAAGGTTCTCCGACGCCCAAGTTAATGAACGCTTTACCGGGATGCCACATGGGGAGTCTTGATTCGTAGGGGGTGGAGCCGGGTCTCCGAGTTTCGTCCTCTGGGGAAGGGCGGCGAATCGCCGTTCCGGGGTGGAAGCTTCCTGTCGCTATACGACGGGGCATATATCGTATTTGATCCTGCAAAAACTTAAGCAAATGTCAGGAAGGCATTCGAAAAGGACCGAAAGGGGTTTCCCTCCCGAAAATTCTCTGACGCCCAAGTTAATGAACGTCCTACCGGGAACAAGTACTCGGGGGGGGGGGAGGAGAGTTTTCTATGAATTTATCGTTAGGGGTCTCGTCTGGAGATCGAGACTCCTGTCTGGTTAAAAGTATTTCAAGAGGGGTTTCTACTTGTGAGTAGGGAAATGCAACGGGTACAAAGTCTGGGTTCTGGGTCAGAGATAACTTAACCTGGTCGGCAGTCACCCAGGAGGAATGCGAAGTCCACCTGTGATCCTGCTGTATGGTCGGGAATATTGTCTCAGACGTCGGAGGGCGGGTCTCTCCAGTCGTCCCCTCCTCTCTCTTGAAAGGGTTCTTCTTCTACTTATACTCGCCTTCCTCTTGTCCTGTCTCTTCATAGACGCGTACCCGGGGAGCAGGTGGGAGTAATCATTCTGGCGTGTTAGGGGAAGCCTGCCAACTGCCCCGATACAGTACGCCGGAGTGGGTCGGCCGAGCTAGCATGGTGTGTGTCAGTAGTCGATGTAGTTAGGCCTACGTGGCGCGTCCTCATTTGACCCGGTAAAATGGGTCCCAACATGATATGATCATGAAAAGCATCAGGACTTGTGTGCACTGGTGGAAGCGTATCTACTCAATCACGATGATTCAATTCATGAAACCACTTGGAGAATGTGCTCAGCTCAATCTCGGATCTCCTCGAAGAAGAATCAAATCAAATTAAAACTTAAACAAAATCCTAATACTAAAAATTGATAAGCAGCTATTACTCCCCGGCAACGGCGCCAAAAACTTGATAGGGCTCAGGTTTTGCCCAAATAAAACTACTGCAAGTGCACAGCAAAGCAATCGTAGTATAAGGGGTATCTAATCCCAAAGGAGTATGTAAACTACACAATCGATTATAGGTTCAGATTAAGCTAAGAAGTAAGTAGCATATGTAGTGCGAAATAACAAAATAAAAGATAACATGCGAAATTTGTTTGATGTAAGACTCAAAAAACTAAAAGCGTTAAGTCAGGACAATTCGCAGGTTGAATCCGAGAATGTAGAATGCATGAAATCAGGAATGATTAAAAACTGTCTTGAACATGAATCGCAAATATATAACTAATCAGTTCTCATTGCAGAAGTTAACTATGTCTAAATCACAGAGTTTTAAATCTCTTTGCAAACCCTAACAATCCAAACATACAGTAATGATCAGGTTCAATTGTTCACAAAACTCCTAAGCCAAATCTATTTGCATTAAGTTGTTATTCTCATCTAATGCTAGATCAGGTTATCAATAATGCTCTCACATCTATTAAACAACCTATGATTTTCGGATTTCTAGATGATGTGTCTAAGAAACCGATTTTAAAGCAAGCAGAGATAAAGAACCAAAATATATTCCTAACATATAGCAATTCTATAAACTCTTCTTTAACCTTTGAAAAGCCCTAACTTAACTAGCAAATTACTCAGACATGATCATGGAAACAGAAAACGTGGCTGAATAAAATTGCATTGAAAGAATGAAATAAAAGGCAAAGGGGTTCGAAATCTTCTCCAAAAAGAGTACATGATCTGTCTCCCCAAAAGCTCTGAATAAAATTCTTTCTAAAGCTCTCTGAATTCTCAAAAACTAAGATCAAAGCCAACAATGGCTGAAAACATAATATATACAAGCTAAAATACGATCTGGAGTGTTCTTGCAAATATTGGAATTTCTGGGCCAATTATACAAATAATCTTCAATCTTTTAACAAATCAGCCATGATCCTTCCTCTACAGGTGACGAGTGTCACCATAGGTGGTGACGAGCATCACCCAAATCCACATTTTCCCTTCCGAGTTGCACACTTTGTGGCTTCATCTTGCAATGCTCCAAAAAGCTTCAATATCCCCAATTATGCTCCATACATGCTATAACCTGCAAAGACTCTACTAGGACTCTAAAAAGACCAAAAAGACTCAATAAAAAGAACTTATACTATGGTTAAAAATCATAAAAACCATGATATATCAGAAATGCCATCTCTCAGAACAACTCGGGATGTATAACGCTTGACCGGTCGAGTTGCAGCTCTTAACCGGTTCATCTCACGGTTAACCAACAAATGTCTCCCATTCTACCAGCTCCTCAAAGGAAACAAAAAATTCTAATGGGACAAAAAATGCGAGGAGGCACTATCCCAACTCAAAACTTACATCACTGAGCCTCCTATCTTGGCTACGCCAGTCAAAGGAGAACCTCTCTCCCTCTACACAGCAGTCTCCCTGGCTGCAGTAAGCGGCGTACTAGTCCGAGAGGAGCTCAACGAGCAACCAATCTTTTAGGTAAGTAAAACGTTTACTGATGCCGAGACTAGGTATCCAGCTATGGAAAAACTAGCGCTAGCTGTAGTAATGCCAGCTCGCAAGCTTCAACCTTACTTTCAGGCACACTCAATCTTGGTAATGAACTTGCAACCTTTGCGAACTATACTCCAAAGTCCCAGCCAATCGGGGCCCCTTGCGAAATAGGCCATAGAGCTCAGCGAGTACGACATTGAATATCAGACCAGGACATGCGCGAAAGCCCAAATCCTTGCAGACTTCATGGTCGAGCTGGCTCCAGAAACCAGCTCCGAAAGCCCATCATCCAAAACCTGGACCCGATATGTAGATGGAGCATCGTTCAAACAACGGTCCGGAGTCAGGGTCCAGCTCACCTCTCCGACTGGAGAAGTAATAGAACAATCTTTTCGTCTCGGATTCATCTCATCTAAAAACGATTTCGAGTACAAAGAACTTATAGCCGGGCTCTGGCTTGGCATTGGCCTTGGTGCAAGTGATATTAAAGCTCACAGCGACTCAAGACTTATAACCGGTCATTACAGTGGCGAGTACGAAACGAGAGAAGAACGCATGTAAGCCTACTTAACCATAGTTCGCAGCATCGCGGAACAGTTCACTCATTTCGAGCTCGTCCATATACCGCGAGGTGAAAATACGACATCAGACGCTCTAGCAGCCCTAGCTTCCACCGAGCATAGAAGCTAGCACTCAAAACAGCGGCTGTGAGCGCCATTACAACACGACGATCAACCCGATCACAAACCCAACTGTCCCAGGATCCGAGACCGTCAAAAGCAAGCAGCCATCCTGATGAGGATGAGCCAGCTAACACCCCACCAGAGGATGCGGAATCTGACCCGACCTCCTCACAAAGTACTCTGAAATCAACAACCCATATAGTACCAACTGCACTCGTACACGAGCCAACATTCAAAGACGATGTTCATCGCTAGAGCAGACTAGAGGATACCCATCCTCGAGTACATCATACATGGAACAGCTCCCTCCGACAGGTGGGAAGCTCGAAAGCTCAAGGTTAAAAGTTCTCGCTATAGCATGTTATTCGATGACAAGTTATACAAGCGAGGACTATCCGAACCGTACCTTAAATGCGTACACGGAGAGGAAACCTACACTGTAATGTCTGACACTCATGAGGGCCCCTGCGGAAGTCATACTGGAGGCCAAGTGCTCGTCATTCAAATTAAGAAACTTGGCTATTTCTGGCCGACCATGATAGCGGACTGCCATAGACTGTCCAAGAGCTGTGACGGGTGTCAAAGGCATGCCCCAATCATTCACTGTCCAGCCAAAAAAGTTGTCGTCGATCTTGGCACCTTAGCCATTCATGAGATAGTCAATAGA